ATTATTTCGCTGCAAAAAATAAACAACAATTGTATTTTGGCCATGTCGTGATTTTTGGTTATTATGTTAATAATTTTGTACGACTTTTAAGGCATTCAATTGAAGTAATTCTGAGCCGTAAACATATTTTACTTCTTGGCCTTTGAATCAAAATACGACTCGCTCGAACGTTTGTTGAGCGCAATAGTCGAAAAAGTTTCGTCCCAACTTTGATTTTTTTTTGACCGGCTGGCCAAGACAACTTCTCGTAAGGATTCGTTAAAAAAATACAAATTCAAGTTGAGCATTTCTTGATTTTCAACTGAAAAGATCAACTAGTGGCTAAAATTAATTGTGAATTGTATTCTATCGAACGTGAACGATACGTGTACATCCGAAGAGTTTTAAAAACCTTTCACGTCATGCTTCTTGCGAAAGCAACCGTTCGTAAGCCTTCGCAAGCGTTTTGAGCAAAAACTCTAAAATATTGGCAGTATTACCTGAAAATACAATAGCAGAATCTACTAAATTATCGTATAACATCGGAATTTTACCCCCAATAACTATTTCTTCATCAAAACTTGACTACAAAACAGTCAAAACTTCCAGCTCAGTTTTCCCGCCATATTTATCCTTGCCATATAAGACAACGTCGCCATAGTAACCACAACAAACTCGTTACCAGTTCATTGCATCGCACATCGATCGGCGCGCCTATAGCCGTTTCACCACCTTCTATATAAGCGCCCTGGTGCCAATGGTCCAACATGATTATTCGGGTTGATAAATGTAGTACCTTTGGCATCAAAAATGCTCTAACAAAATCAATCCAATACCTGCCTAAACTACTTATTAACAAGCAACTAATTCCAAAGATCAATATCGGTGAGGCTTTTCAATACTTAGGAAGATACTTTAGTTTTAATATGTCAGACGAACACCACAAGTCTGAATTAATCTCACTCGTTGAAGAACTAATGGCAGATATTGATTCCAAACCATTACATCCAAAAAATAAAATCCTCCTCTACAGTCGATATCTTCTGTCCAAATTATCCTGGCATTTTACAGTTTCTAGCGTATCGAAAACGTGGGTCACCGAAAACATTGATTCCAAAGTCAACAGTTATATCCGTAAATGGCTTGATATACCTATATCTGGAACGCTAAGCACTGTTTTCCTAACCCGCAACAAGTTTGGCCTCAGTATTTGTCCCCCATCTGTCAAATTTATTCAATGTCAAACTGTTCTCCGTAAAGCCCTAAAAACATCCCCAAACGAAGCAATTAACGATCTTTGGAAAGCAACTAGCAACAGCAAAAATATTCAGTATGACGTTTATAACTCCACTAAGCAAGTTCTTAAGGACTTCCACTCTGGACAAGAGGATAAACTGCATACTCAATTAACCTGTCAAGGCTCTTTCTTCACTAATATAACAAAGTTCTCACTGTCCCAACTCACTAAAATTTGGTCTGCGTGCCAATCGAACCTTCCGAAAAATATATTCAACTTTACGGTTCGATACATCAATAACTCCCTTCCAACGCGCCAAAACCTTGCAAGATGGGGTTTATCACCGACTTCAGACTGTTCGCGATGTCTAGCTCCTGAAACACTTCTGCACGTAGTAGCTGGTTGCCAATCGTACCTAGAACGATTCACGTGGAGACATGACTCCGTTCTAAACTTTCTCGCAACAAGCCTGCAGACCGTAAGCGGCTCACATCTTTACGTGGATCTCCCAGGGTACAAAAGTCCATCAATCATCACTGCTGACACCTACCGTCCAGATTTGCTTCTTTCAACCTCAAACGGAACACTCTACATTGTTGAACTTACAGTTGGCTTCGAATCAAATCTTCAAAAAAACGTTAAGCGTAAAAAATCAAAATATAAAGAATTAATTAGGGAACAAAATGAACATTTCAACTCAGTAAAATTTGTAAATCTTTCGATTAGTTCTCTTGGTGTTTTCAGTAAAGAATGTTGTACTTTCATAGAAATGCTTAATGATTTTGGTTTTCAAAAGCAACATCAGAATTACTGTATTAGAAGAATGGCGACGATTGCAATCCGAACAACGTATTATATATTTTGTTGTCGAAACAAGGAATGGATGAATCCGGAACTGTTAAGTGTTTAAACGTTGTACTGTCATTTTGTTATCTTAATAGTATAATTTTTGCATATATAATCAGTGATTTAAGTAGCCAGTTGTAAATTACCTGATATAAGTGAGATTTGCAATTGTATATATAAGCTAAATATCCATTTAATAAAGTTTTCATTATTATTATTATTATTATTATTATTATTATTATTATTATTATTATTATTATTATTATTATTATTATTATTATTATTATTATTATTATTATTATTATTATTATTATTATTATTATTATTATTATTATATACATCGAGCAGAGCCGTGTTCAGACGTGCTCTGTACATGTCATAGTTTTATCGCTGGTTTTGTATTTGAATCACAGTATTTCTTACTAATTGTTAAAATTTATAATCATAAAAAGATCATCATCATGATTCGTTCAAGTTTTGTTGCCATGTTATTGACTTGCGTCGTCTGTTCGTTTTGTGATGAAGACTTCGTCGCGCTCGGTCGCCATTCGTGGCGTTGTAAACAGCGGATTAACCAAGCAGAACGAGATCCCCCTGACGCTACTACAAGACAAGTGCCTGTAATGCAGTCCCCTAATGTTCCTGTGTCAAGTCGCACGGTTGTTAAATGTTGTTGTGGCAAGATATGCAAAGGGGCGCGCGGCCTTAAAATGCATCAGCGCAGTTGTCAAGTGATACATGGCCTTAACGACGAGCTTTGTGCAGATCTTGAGGAGCAAATAACTACGGATAACAGCGAAAATATTTCAGAAATTGAACACAACGGCAATGATATTAATACAGTTAATTACGATAATTTTCCTGAACTGAAGAAAGGCATAAATCTCCCGAAAAATGATTCTGAATGGTCAACGGCTAATGATTATTTTAAATGTGCACTCCAGCCAAGTGATCCAATCACATTGCAAGATCTAAATTCAAAAATCAAGCTTTTAAATGACGCGATATACAGCTACTTTGCAAATAATTATGGACATACTGAAACTGTACCCGACAAAAATATGGGAGCTAAATATAAAGAGTATACGGTTAAAGAGTTAAAGAAAGCTTTACAAAATTTAAAATCCAAAAAGGGTGAACTCAGTGAAATTAAATACGTATCGCGTACATTGCGTGACAGGCTCCGTAACAATGGCAACGACGCCGATGACTTAAATGACAGTGAGTCGTTTAATCACAACAAATATCTGGAACGAAGCTTTTGGGGCTATGTTAAAAATATAATCAATAGAAAAGACGCAGTATTACCATCATTTAACATGACTGATTGCCTTTCTTATTTCTCTAAATCTCTGGCTAAAATTAATCCTAACAAGCTATTTGTAATTCCCAGCTGGATCCCAAAGTTATCTGATCCTGCAGTTCAATTTAACCTTGACCCCCCGACCTATCAACAAATTACAAATGTTATACGCAAAATGAAATCGTCTGGTTCTCCTTGCCCTCTTGATCAACTTTCTATAATAAGTTTCAAGCATTGTCCTTATCTGAGAACTTACTTTACTGAGCTAATTCACGATATTTGGCTATCTGGAACTGTCCCAACTGAGTGGAAAAGAGCATGTACCATACTAATCCACAAGAAAGGCAACAATAATGACCCTTCAAATTTCCGCCCCATAACACTCGAATCCATACCTTTAAAAGTATTTACATCTTGTCTCCGAAACGCAGTATACTCCTTCCTCGCATCTAATAACTTCGTCGAACACAACATACAAAAAGGCTTCACCCCCAACCTATCTGGCACTCTAGAACATACTGCGCAAATGGCTGACATTATTAATAAAGCTCGGATCAGACAACGCTCTGTTGTCATCACCCTACTTGATCTTAAGAATGCCTTCGGCGAAATCCATCACAACCTCATTCAATCCGTACTTGACTACCACCATATCCCTGATCATATAAAATTTGTTATAAAAAGTTTATATACTGATTTCCAAACCTCGATAATTACCTCTGAATTCCGCACTCCTTTTATGACAGTTGGCCGTGGCGTATTGCAAGGAGATTGCCTCAGTCCTCTTCTTTTTAACATGTGCTTCAATACATTCATTCAGCATATCAAGGCTGAAAAGTATCGTCAATTTGGGTTTTCCTTCAAATTACTAAATCCCATCCATTGGTTCCAGTTTGCTGATGACGCGGCTGTAATTACTGGCCAAGAATCCGAAAACCAACATCTGTTAAATCGATTTTCTATCTGGTGCCAATGGTCCGATATGATTATCCGAGTTGACAAATGCAGTACCTTTGGCATTAAAAAAGCGATCACAAAATCAGTTCAGTACTTGCCAAAACTCCTCATCAGCAATCAACTAATACCAAAAATCACTATTGGAGAATCATTTCAATATTTAGGACGTTACTTTGATTTCCACATGTCGAATGATAATCACAAAACTGAACTAACCACCCTACTTAATGAACTAATGTCTGATATTGACTCAAAGCCACTACACCCCAAAAATAAACTGCTCCTCTACAGTCGCTACGTCTTGTCCAAGTTAGCCTGGCACTTCACCGTCGCAACACTCTCTAAAACATGGGTTACTGAAAATATCGACTCTATTGCCAACAAATATATCCGCAGATGGCTTGAAGTACCAATATCAGGAACACTAAGTACTGTCTTTCTAACAAATAATAAATTTGGCCTGAGTATTTATCCTCCATCTGTAAAATTTATCCAGTGTCAAACAGTCCTCCGAAAAGCTTTAAAATCTTCTCCTAATGAATCAACTAACGACCTGTGGAGAGCAACCAGTAACCATACTAATATCCAATATGACGCTTATAACTCTACTAAGGAAGTTCTCAAAGATTTCCGTTCTGGACACGAAAACAAACTCCTAAACCAATTAACCAGTCAAGGATCCTTTTTCTGCAGCGTCACGAAGTTCGCTTTACCTCAGCTTAGCAAGGTGTGGTCCGTCGCCCAATCAAAGCTCCCGAAAAACATTTACAACTTTACCATTCGTTACATTAACAACTCTCTTCCGACGCGTAAAAACCTAAACAGATGGGCAATATCTTCAAATTCAGACTGTTCTTTTTGTCTTAGCCCTGAAACATTACTACACATAGTAGCTGGATGTCAGTTTTATCTCGACCGATTTACGTGGAGACACAATTCAGTCCTGAACTTTCTTGCTCATCAGTTACAAACTGTTGACGGTTCTACTCTCTACGCCGACCTAAATGGATTCAAAAGCCCTTCAATACTTACTGGTGATACGTATCGCCCAGATTTGTTATTATCGTGCTCAAATGGTTCCTTATATGTGGTTGAACTCACCACTGGTTATGAGACAAACCTCAAAAACAACGTAAAACGGAAGAAGGATAAATATAGAGAATTATTGAGACAGCTAGGTAAAAATTTTAACCAAGTTAAATTTATAAACCTCTCCATCAGCTCTTTAGGTATTTTTGCAGAAGAATGTTATACATTTTTAGACATGTTAGATAGTATTGGTCTTGACAAAAACCACCAAATGTACTGCGTTAGGAAAATGATGACTATTGCTATTAGAACTACATATTACATTTTTTGTTGCCGAAATAAGGAATGGGAAAATCCGGATTTACTAACAATTTGACTTATCTCATTGTATATATATATATTGCACGCACTTTGTTCTGTTATTTTAGTTTAGTATAATTGTGATTCAAATAGCCAACCGTAAGTTACCTTTATGAGAGAGATTTACGATTGTATATGTATGTAAAGAAAAACATTTAATAAAGTTTCCATTATTATTATTATTATTATAAGCCACCTGCTACACGTCAGGAAGAAACGGCTGTGTTTTATAAACGAAAATACGACTTTATACTATATTCTTGTTGTTGAAATTCCTGCACAAAATCCAGCTTGCTGTGTAAACGAGACAAATTCGAACAGACGAACTCAGTAAGGCAATAGTTTAAACGATTTTGTGAAACTCTATGTCAGCGATAGCAAGTCAATATGGCTAATCGAAGGCAATATAAACACAGGCGTAAATGGACAGATCAAATGAACGAGGATCTTTTGAGTTGCAAACGCGAGGCTGTGGCAATGACACAAATGGAACAACCACCGTTGGATGGAAATAGCATGAAAAAAGACTATATTAAACTCGTGAAGGAGCTATGGGATGCGAAAGGATATAATGATTTGGGCTTCTCAAGCCAGAATTTGCGTGATCAAGCTGCAAGGCTGGAGAAATCTTTGGAGCTGGGGGACTCGAGAAACGTATCAAGAGATTCTGTTGCTATAAACCAAAACAATTTACTGGAGTTGAATAAGGACAATTTAATACGGGATTCGCAAACGGGAGAGGGCTCAAACGGTTTCGATATGTCGGCGAAAGATGCCGCCTTGATTGATGAATTGCAGTATACCAATCAAACGAATGAATTGCAAACAACAACCCACCACGATTTGCATAATAGTCGACATGAAATTCCTGGAGCACTCGACCAGAACGAAGATAATGCACTCATCTCGGGCTGTCTTCCGGAGTATAATAATGTAAATAAACCACCTATGATTAATTGCATGGGGGAAGCGAGGCGATGGACGAACAATAGTTATATCGACTTCAGACATTACAGATGCATATGATGAAATTACAACTTGGAAAAAGAATGTTTTTCTAGTGCCATACGGGAAAATAGGAAGGGATTTTATCGATCAGATAACGATGCATATAAACGACTGGAATAGCGGTTCGGAAAATCAACATGTTTCCCTAAAACCTGTTTCTGTACTTCTCGCCGTTGGGCTTCAAACGCCAAACCCGAAGTCCAAGGCAAAGGACCATCAAGATGCCTTGTCAAAGCGACTTGCACTTTGGAAGGACGGTGAGATCAGTAAGCTAATACGTGACCGGGGACGAATCATACAAAGTCGTATTGGAAAATTTAAAGGATCAAACCACCCTGATAAAGCTAAAGTCTTTGCTAAGCTTGTGCTAGAAGGTCAAATCAACTCCGCCCTTCGCTTCCTGAGTGAAAACTCAAATGGCGGCGTGTTAACGTTAACTGACGATGTAATGACGCAATTAAAACAGAAGCATCCTGAGCCACAACCAGCAAAACTAGGATCGGTATTATTTGGCCCGCTCAATGACGAGATACCCGAATCTGTTTACTCACAGATCAATGGTGAGATCGTTAGGCAAGCCGCTTTCAGAACAAAGGGATCCGGAGGCCCGTCTGGTGTCGATGCTAACGGCTTTAGAAGAATGTTGGCATGTAAGTCCTTTAAGCAATCATCTACAAGACTGTGCGAAGCTATAGCCAGAATGGCCAAGACTTTGTGCACACAATATATCGATCCTACCACTATCGAAGCATTGATTTTAGTCGTTTAATTCCCCTAGACAAAGGCGAAGGTGCGGTAAGACATATCGGAGTAGGAGAGGTAATAAGGATAAGTGCAAAATGTGTTATGAGCTTTGCAAAGAAGGACGTTGTGGAAGCAAGTAGATCGTTACAATTATGCGCTGGGCAAAAGTCTGGAAGTGAGGCTGCAATACATGCAATGAACACCCTGTTTGAAGCTGATGACATTGATGCTGTTTTACTTATCGATGCTTATAATGCATTCAATGCACTCAACAGAACTGTGGCTCTGCATAACATCCGTGTGTTATGTCCGATAATCGCTGCCTACGCTATAAACACCTACAGACAGCCAGCTCGGCTGTTTATTGTTGGCGGCAAAGAGACTGCGTCGGCAGAAGGAACCACGCAAGGAGATCCTTTGGCAATGGCCTTTTATGAGATAAGTACCCTGCCTTTGATCGCGAGTCTACAGGCCGCATCTACCGTGAAGCAGTGCTGGTTCGCAGACAATGCGAGTGGAGCTGGTCGTGTGACACAAATCAAAGATTGGTGGGATGCATTGAATACTCTTGGTCCAAACTTGGGATATTTTCCGAAAGATGAGAAATGCTGGATTATTTTTAAGCCCGAAAAGGAAGAAAGTGTGAAAGAAGTCTTCCATGGAACGGATATCAATGTAACAGTGCATGGGCAGAAACATCTGGGAGCAGCGCTAGGTTCACGAGAGTATCTGGAGGAATATGTTAATGAGAAGGTCTCTAATTGGGTCAACGAAGTGACAGCATTAGCCGAATTTGCACTGTCCCAACCACAAGCGTCCTATGCCGCATACACATTTGGTTTGAAACATCGTTGGACCCACTTCCTAAGAACCCTGCCAGACATCCAGGACCTACTAGAGCCACTCGAAAAGGCAATATCGCAGATTCTCATCCCCGCTATCACAGATCACCAGTGCAATCCACTCGATCGGGACATTCTAGCACTTCCAGCACGTCTGGGTGGCCTGGGCTTGGAAAATCCAAGTCATGAGGCAGAACGTCAGTATGTGTCGTCAAAAAGAGTGACAGCACCCCTTGTCGATCAGATTGTAGCGCAGTTACATCAGCTACCCGACGAGTCGCATATAAAATCAGCGCAACAAGCCGTTAGAAAAGAAAGAGTGCAAGAGTGGGAGGAGAGGGCACAACGTATTATGTGGCTCACAGCACTTCCTCTAAAAGAACAGGGATTCAACTTGAATAAGAGAGAATTTCGGGACGCCGTAAAGCTGCGCTATGATTGGCCAATCGACGACATCCCCTCCATATGTGTATTTGGGGATACCTTCACGGTTGACCATACCATGATCTGCAAACGTGGAGGCTTTGTAATTATGCGCCACAATGAGTTAAGAGATCTGGAATCGGAACTCCTCAACATTGTCTGTAGTGAAGTCCAAGTTGAGCCTGTCCTACAAGACATCTCGGGAGAGCAACTAAATGGAGGCTCCAACAGAGCACCTGATGCTAGACTCGACATTCGTGCGCGTGGGTTCTGGGAAAGTTAACGATCAGCCTTTTTTGATGTAAGGGTTTGTCATCCCAATGCTGATTCGTACAAGGACCTGGAGCTACGCCAAGTCTACAAGATACGCGAAAACGAGAAGAAGCGCCTATATGCAAGGAGAGTCCTCGAAATAGAGCAAGGAACATTTACGCCACTCGTATTCACCACCACAGGCGGTATGGGCAAAGAATGTGTGAGATACCATAGTCGATTGGCAGAGTTGGTAGCCATAAAGAAAGGAGAAGATTATGCGACAACTATGAGTTGGATAAGAACCAGAACCTCATTCGCTTTATTGAGATCGGCACTTACCTGCTTGAGGGGTTCAAGGGCAAGGAAAGTCATGTATGATATTAGGAACATTGATTTTAACATTGAGAACGCCGAGAGTGCTATCTCTCAAACAATTTAGATTGTACCATATACAAAGTTTAATTGTTTAGTTATTTAGCGGAATATGTTAGTTTAGTTATTTAGCTACTTAGCGGTAAATATTTTAATTATGTAGCGGTATATGTTCCAGAGTTTGTTTTTAAAATTTACCTGTACATATCAACAAACATTTAGTAATATAGTCATTGATAACAAAAGCATTGTTGTATATAATGAAGTGATGAATAAAGTTGTAAGTATTATTATTATTATTATTATTATTATTAATATCCTGAATGAAATTGATGATCTACCATTACATCCGAAAAAACAAAATTCTCTTATACAGTCGTTATGTGCTTTCCAAAATCTCTTGGCACTTCACTGTTTCTGACAAAGGCAAAACCTGGGTTAACGATAAACTAGATAGTATCGTGTCCACGTATATCCGAAAATTGCTTGAACTTCCCATTTCTGCAACCCTTAGTAACGTCCTACTTCCCCACAATAAATTTGGATTAAATATCATTCTACCTTCAACCAAATTCCTTCAATGCCAAACTGTTTCTCGGAAAGCCCTAAAGTCGTCGCCAAATGAAGCGATCAATAACCTTTGGAAGGATACTAGCAATCACAAAAATGTACAATATGACAAACACAAAAACACCAAGGACGTATTAAACACCATCAGGAAACAACATGAAGACAAGTTTCAACACCACCTCATTTCACAAGGCTCATTTTTCTCCAATATCATTAAACATTCTACACTCTCATTCAACTCTATATGGTCCTCCGTTCAGAGTAAACTTCCGAAGAATATATTTAACTTCACTATCCGGTATATAAATAACACTCTTCCGACTCGCAAAAACCTTCTGAAATGGGGAATATCACCAACATCCGAATGTTCGTTTTGTTTGAATCCAGAATCACTTCTTCACGTCGTCGCTGGATGCAAGACCTACCTAATGAAGGACGTTTTACGTGGCGTCATGATTCGGTGCTTAACTTCATAGCATCCATACTTAAATCTGTGAACCATTGTAACCTTTATGCTGACCTTCCTGGCTATATCAGTCCATCTGTTATCACCGGAGATGAATTGCGCCCTGATCTTTTGATAACACTTGAAAACAAATGTATTTATATACTTGAACTTACCGTCGGATTTGAATCTAATCTCCTCACTAATGCAACTCGAAAAAGACAAAAATATCAAGATCTAATTAACGAACAGCTCAAAAATTATGAAAAAGTGAAATTTGTAAATTTATCGATTAGCTCATTAGGAGTTTTCAGCCACCCGTCTCTAGATTTCACCGAAATGCTGAAGGATCTAAAGTTTGATGAACAATGTAGAAAGTACTATGTTCGGAAAATTATTAACATATGTATCAGGTCCTCGTATTATATATTCTGTAAGCGTAACAAAGAATGGGATAACCCACAACTAATGTCATACTAATATTGTTATTATGTAGAGTGTTAATTCAAGTAGACACTGGTAAACTACCTGTAAAGAGAGGTTTATCATTGTAGTGTGTATATATATTATTGAAAGTAATAAAGTTTCCATTATTATATCGTCAATTCGGCTTTTTCTTACAGTTTCTAAATCTCATCCATTGGTTTCAGTTTGCTGATGATGCCGCCGTCATAAGTAGTCAAGAATCCGAATATCAACATCTTCTAAACCGGTTCTCCATTTGGTGCCAATGGTCCAACATGATTATTCGGGTTGATAAATGTAGTACCTTTGGCATCAAAAAAGCTCTAACAAAATCAATCCAATACCTGCCTAATTAAACTACTTATTAACAAGCAACTAATTCCAAAGATCAATATCGGTGAGGCTTTTCAATACTTAGGAAGATACTTTAGTTTTAATATGTCAGACGAACACCACAAGTCTGAACTAATCTCACTCGTTGAAGAACTAATGGCAGATATTGATTCCAAACCATTACATCCAAAAAATAAAATCCTCCGATCCTCTACAGTCGATATCTTCTGTCAAAATTATCCTGGCATTTTACAGTTTCTAGCGTATCGAAAACGTGGGTGACCGAAAACATTGATTCCAAAGTCAACAGTTATATCCGTAAATGGCTTGATATACCTATATCTGGAACGCTAAGCACTGTTTTCCTAACCCGCAACAAGTTTGGCCTCAGTATTTGTCCCCCATCTGTCAAATTTATTCAATGTCAAACTGTTCTCCGTAAATCCCTAAAAACATCCCCAAACGAAGCAATTAACGATCTTTGGAAAGCAACTAGCAACAGCAAAAATATTCAGTATGACGTTTATAACTCCACTAAGCAAGCAACCTCGTTCCCAGGCTCTTTGCTCTTGTGAAGCAAAGACCCTGGTCGGGGCTGGTCACGTGACCCCGCAGATTCTGCGTGGTAAATTGAATTGATCTCAGGGAGGGGTGGTAGAGGAGTCTGTTTGTTGCGTTTGGAAAATTGTGATTTTATGTGTTATAGTTTCGGGTGATAAAAACCTCATTTGCAACAAGAAATCGTGAAAGGAACAGTTTTAAATTCGTATTCATCATGACACAACTTCCTGCTATACTGAATGTCATCAATTATAAGTGTTGCGGTACATTTCAAGCAAGAAGCTGGATCATATTTCACTTCCAACGACTCCACACGCGCCTGGCTTGCGAATTTGAGCACGCATCGCCGTAGAAACATATATGTCTTCCCAATTCTATACCGACTGATTGATCAAACGATATATGGTTGTTTATGGTTGAAGTGTATCCTGTCCGATATTCAACAAAGCCAAAGGATTTATTTTATAATGGAAGATTTCCCAAACATCGCTAACTGTGTGTAAACAATAGTGCTATCTTGACTGTGAAAGCACAGGATTAAAACCCGTTACGGACTGTAAAATTCCTTTCATTTACATTGCTGAAACTCAACGATCAAGAATGATTATGTCGAAGACTCGAAGTATATCTATCTGTCATCAGACGAAAACCAAGACTCCACTGTGCGTTTCCGTGTGTGCGGTCATATAACTTGAATATTTAGGACGATATATGCACCAGACACTGGTATTGTACTTCATAGTAAATTATTTCATATTTTGTGTATTACAGTAATTTACAGCAAGTACATTATAAACCTTATAAAGACCTTTCATTCCCATTGCCCATTCAGTGCTTTATATTTGAAGAATAACCCGACAGCTTCTTTGGACTTGTATAATGCTGCTGTGAGTCATCAATATTTAAATCAACTTTAAATAATCTTTATCGTATACTGTATAAATGACATTTTAGCAGTTTCACCAAACCATACTAGAGGCAAACAACCTATCTATCAATGGAAACTTTAAAAGGCTTATTAAAACTCATTAATTAAGTAATTCTATGAGCTGAACTTCGTGCGCATATATACAGTTTATGAATTATGTATATATATCCCTGATAAAACGTAGGGACACTTTGTACCAGATATAATAAAAAATACTTTGCTAAACTTTTTCGGCTATCATTCCTTTGCATTCAAGGAGCGAGGGTGAATGGCTATATAATTCATATCGGAGATTCTGTGCAATCTGATTTTGGCTTTAACAAACAGGTACTCGTGCAGACAAAAAAGGAAATGCATACAGTTGTCAATTGTCGTATAATTCTTTACTGTCGATCCCAAACAATTTTGTACGCTAACATTCCTTCCTACCTGGTGTTGAATATAAACGATGATAACCTTTTAAAAAAAAATCTAGAGCACTATGTCTATAAACCGTTTTATAATCAATAGAATGGACATTCAATGTCTATTTGGCTAGTGTCCAAATGTGTAACGTTTGCTGTAAGACCAGCCCTTACGAAAATTTCCTATAGGAATTCCTATAGGAAAAATTCCTATAAGAATTTGGGACAAAATTCCTATAGGAATTTTTCCTATAGGAATTCCTATAGGAAAAATTCCTATAGGAAAAATTCCTATAGGAATTTTGTCCCAAATTCTTATAGGAATTTTTCCTATAGGAATTCCTATAGGAATTTTGTCCCAAATTCTTATAGGAATTTTTCCTATAGGAATTCCTATAGGAAAAATTCCTATAGGAATTTTTTCTACAGGAATTCCTATAAGAATTTAATAGGAAAAATTCCTATAAGAATTCTCAAGTCTAGTCCCAAATTATTATAGGAATCTCCTATAAGAAAATAATTTATTCTAATTTCCTATAAGATTTTTGGTATTCCTGCAGAAATTCTAGAATCTAGTTGAAATAATAGTAAATGACAGACAATGTTGTTCATCACTCTTAATTTTTTAATGCAAAAAATAGATATAAATATTAATAAATACTAATTAATATTGCAAATATAAAAATTAATATGAGAAATTGGTTATACTAAACATTACAAATCAATTATAGTTTTCACCTATTGTGCCAAATTAATCGTTCTACCTCAATGCAATGCCATATGATGCGTCCTACTTTATTATTTTACTCTGTCTAACTATTTTACTTTGTCTAATGCCAGACTATTTTACTCTGTCTAACTCCAGACAATTGTACTTGAATGTCAAGCAGAAATGCTGGCTCCGAATGGGTTAACTAGCCTATATTCCTATATATGTGTCTAGTTAACCCATTGAATCACATTGCGCCCTGATGCGCCCTACTTTATTATTTTACTGTAGTTTACTCTGTCTAACGCCAGACGATTTTACTCGTCAGAGCGCTGGCACTTAATCGGCTAAACCATAGGTAATAACCATAATTGACATTTAAAGTTAAGTTTAAAACTGGCCTCAAAACATAGTCCTCAAATAAGTTCTTGTTCTTGTTTGCTTTTCTGTACTTTGCAACACTTTCCCATGTTGTTTATATTTGTCCTCATATGTTGACGAACCTCTGAAGCCTTATATCCATACTTTGTTGATAGCTGTAAAAAGACAAATACATTTATTTTATGTATACCATTCCAATGTGTTTTGTTAACCCATTAAATATGCCCAAATGCACCCAATTTATTATTGGGTGCATTTGGGCATATTAGTGGAGAGTCTAGCACTTTAATAGAATAAACACAGTAAAATAACAAAGTACTAAAAGTAGGGCACATTGCTTCTAAATATGCCACACAGCAGCTTTTGCAGTTAATTATTAACCTTTCAATGACCAACATTCACTTTGATGAGTAAAATCATCTGATAAATATCAAAGTACTGAAAGTGGGGATTGAGTGTTAGGGTGAATTGCATCTAAATGTGCTAACGCCAAATAATGCAAAATAGTCTGGTATTAACAGGGCAAAATATTGAGCTTTGAAATAGAGCGCATTAGTGTGAATTTGTGAATTGGGTCTTGATGAGTTTACACAAAACACAGGGAGACAGCAAGGTAACCTATCAAAGTTGTCCACTCTCTTTCAAGTAAAATGATCTGGTGTTAGACAAGGTAAAATAAAAAAGTACTGAAAGTTGAGCACATTCATCTTAACAAGTTAGCATGAAATGTAAGCTAGCAGAGAGTCTGGTTAATTTGAATACCATCACATAGTTATGTTTAATTAATAGAAAAACATTGGATAATTTTCCTGGCATTACACTAAAGCATGTCTAAAGGCTAACAGATTTTAATACATTGACTGGTGCAAGACCTCTCAAAGTGAAAATTGTTTAATTTAAACAAAACATATGAATAAATACTGCTGCTGATTTGAGCAAGTAGTTAAATTTTCTATAGGCATGCATTAAATATGGCTGACAATTTACAATTAATCTGGCATATACAGTTGGCACTTGGGATATACAAATATATTAATAAACATGGATAAGTCTGATTCAAAGATAAAACTTTTATAGTAGCATCTGTTGAAGTATAAATGCTATAAATATATTTATATCAGCATTCTAATTCGGTTTATATTGTCGCGGCAAATTCAAATTTTATCGAACCACATGCTCGAATTTCACAAATGAAGATTGGAGGTATTTCCTTTATAATTTGCTTTATTATAAATAAAATATAAACTTATTCTTACCTGAACATTATGCAAACATCCCTGATGTATTACTAGTGAAAATCCAGTTGAATCCCATCAAAAATAATTCTATTTTGCACATAAACCACTGACAAACACTGACTTGAAAAAATATCGGAGGTGTGATGATCTATCCCTTGATGCTTTGCGCGCGTGGCAAGAAAACTAGACACCAGTCTGTCAGTCGCGCACATTGCGGTAATTTTCATTTAATCTTAGAAAATAAATAGTCCCAGTATTAAATTCTCTATTAATAAATGTCTATGAGTAGTATAAGATATAGGAATAGTGTAGTTGTATAAGAAATTAAAATTCCTATAAGAATTCTTATAGGATATGATAATGGTGAAAAAATTCGTATAAGAAATAAAAATTCCTGTAGGAAGGAGTTATTTCGTAAATTATATTTATCTGTATAATTTTTTATATAAGTAAAGTTCTTATACCCATGCATGTATCAGGCCATAGTGGTATAGGCTATGAATTTTCCCCACCATTTTCCAATCCTATAAGAATTCCTATAGGAATTTTTATTTCCTATAGGATTTTTTTCACCATTTTCAAATCCTATAGGAATTTTCATTTCCTATAGGAATTCCTATAGCCAGTTTCCAATCCAATAGGAATTCCTACAGGAATATTTTTTCCTATAGGAATTTTTTCACCATTTTCAATTCCTATAGGAATTTTCAATGCCAATAGGAATTCCTACAGGAAATTTCAATTCCTATAGGAATTCCTATAGGAATTTTCAATGCCTACAGGAATTCCTATAGGAAATTTTAATTCCTATAGGAATTCCTATAGGAATTTTCAATGCCTATAGGAATTCCTATAGGAAATTTCAATTCCTATAGGAAATTTCAATTCTTATAGGAATTCCTATAGGAATATTTTTTACCATTTTCAATTCCTATAGGAATTCCTATAGGAATTTTCAATTCATATAGGAATTCCTATAGGAATTTTCAATTCCTATAGGAATTCCTATAGGAATTTTGATTTCCTATAGGAATTCCTATAGGAAATTTTCGTAAGGGAAGAGGAGACCTTGCTGCTTAATGGTTAAATTAATTAATATGACGAGAGTGTTGTACTGTACAATAGGATCTATACCTTGGGATCTCATAAATGTTTCTGAGTAAAAATAGTGCATGAAGAATATCTTCTCTTTCAGATATTTTATAGTTCTGAATTGTCTATAGGAGGAAGATACTGTTTATAAAATTGCTTCTGATTAAAATGATATTTTTGTTTGCTTTGAAGGCATTGGTGCAGCATTTCAGAAGTGCCGACATTGCCAGTGTGCATTCGAACAAATGCAAACTGACTTCCGTGAGTCTGCTTTTAGTCTTCAAACCAAAGAAAGTTATGATGGCCAATGTGATGAGATTGAACAAGCCCCAAATGAGAACATAAGGAAGGATCTTCAGACCACTTATGGAATTAATAAGAGAAGTATACTTTGCCAGCTCCCCACCTTTGATGTGACGAAACAGCTTCCCCAAGACACCATGCACACATTATTGGAAGGAACTGTTCAATATGAAATTCGTCTAGTTCTACTCCATTACGTCCAATCGGGTACAACCACTTTGTCACAAATCAATGGTGCAATTACCAGTCATAGATATGGCTATTCTGAGATTAGTGACAAACCAGATCCTCTCAGAGAAACTGTATTCTTTGGCGATGAGCGATACAAGCTTAAATACAAGGTTGCACAAGCAAGAATGTTTCTGAGATTATTGCCATTCATCATTGGTCCTTTGGTCGATTCAGAAGATCCATACTACCTATTCTTGGTGGAGCTTATCCATATTGTTCAACTGGTTTTTTCCCCAGTTATAAAGATTGGCACTATCCACTACTTGAAGCAGATAATTGATGAGCACCTTTCTAATTTCAAGAAGCTGTTTCCCAATTCAAATATATTGCCGAAACATCACTATTTGGTCCACATCCCATCTACTATCCAGCAACTGGGGCCAATGGTTCGTTCTGCTTGTTTTAGTTTCAAGTCTGCCCACAGTTACTTTAAAGTGGTAGCTAGAAAGCAGAATTTTAAGAACTTGCCACTGTCTCTCGCTAAACGTAACCAGTTTAAAGAATGCTGCAACTTTCGTGATTCTAGTGAAAGCCCAAGCTCTCACCCACTGTCCTCAAGTGAAAAGTTAGAGTTTTAAAGAAAGTGGATGCAGAAAGTTGTCAATTCCTTCAGGAAAAATTTGATGTCTCTAGCTTGCTACCTGGTATTAGTTTAGCTAATGCTTGCAAAGTGAGTTGGGTGGAGCTTTATGGAACCAAGTACAAGAATGCGGATGTACTTGCAGTTGATGCCCATGGAGATCCCATTTTTCCTGTGTTTGGTGTCATATCAATGCATATGGTCAGTGAACAATTACGTTTATTTCGAAGTGGAGTTGCTGCAAGCTGTCTGTTTTGACTACCTTCACTAGGCCTACCAGGTGACAAAGCTTGATGGTGGAGAGAGTTGTGGAAGGGTTTTCTCGTACGAAAGCATAGTGGATTATAATGTTTTCCATATCAAGAAAGACCATTATGGTAACCAGTATGTTCCAGTTAAATATGACATTGATGATCTTATGGAAGACCATGTGGAAGGAAGAAATCCTCTGATGACATAAAAGGTACCTCATTATACAGTAATATCACATTGACACCATTGGGGCTAAACTTTTGCTAGATGGTTGTTTGCTTTGGCATAGAGTATTATATAGTGCTTTTTATGTATTATATATTGAACAATAATTTCATCCTGGAAAACAAATTATTCCTCAATAAAATGAAACTAGTAATAATGAATGATATATATTCACTGCATGCAATTATATAAATACCATATTCTGATAAACCCTGTTTATTTATAACCCTTTAAGTGGCAATGCACCCTAGTTTAGTATTTTACTCTGTCTAACACCAGACGATTTTACTTGTCAAGTTGAGAGTGCTGCCACTCAGTGGGTTAACCAAACAAACTGCCCATGCATCTTCTTAACCCCTTAAGTGGTAATGCACCCAATACTTTAGTCTGTCTAACGCCAGACGATTTTACTCTTCAAGTGGAGAGTGCTGACACTCAGTGGGTTAACCAAACAAACTGCCTGCACCCAACACTTTAGTATTTTACACTGTCTAACACCAGAGTATTTTACTCTGTCTAACGCCAGACGATTTTACTCGTCAAGTGGAGAGTGCTGCCACTCAGTGGGTTAACCAAACAAACTGTGTTACGTGAATTCTTCTTAAATTGGTTACGTATGGGAATTGGGATATAGGAATGTTGTGATTCTTTGTTCAATTTGTTAGGTGTATGTGTCATGAAGCACTGACAATGAGATTTATTAGTGATAAACTTATTTAAATTGTAAACCCAGCTCAAGGTCATGCATTGTTTTCTATGCTAGTATAACTGTAAGGCATAATTATGTGATATCGCACTGCATTTTTTATCGGATTCGTATCTGCTTATTTTTGCTGGAAATTCATTATTTCCAGTATATCGTTTGTGATCATGAAAAAGTATGTTCATACACCGAATAATTAACGCACGCTGTATATAATAACTTAAGATCGGATCGGATTACAAATTTTAGCATTGGATCGGATTTTATAAACATTTTTTTGGATCAGATTGCTTTTTTCATCTTCAGATTGGATTCGGATTGAGAATTTAGACAAACCATCGGATTCAAACAAGTCAATCCAATCCGACGCTCACCTCTACTTTATATAGTCTTTTACTTGTCAAGTGCAGGAGAGTGCTGCCAATCAATGGGTTAAACAACTTTGAGTAGGGCATTTATAAGAGAGAGGAGGATTTAATACAAATCTCAGTAAGTTGAGGGGGTGGGTGTTAATTGGAATGAGGCGTTTATAAGAAAAATATGGAAAAAGTAATTTTAGGAAATAAATTGCTTGTTTTAAGAACTCTCATTTTTGGTAAGAATGACAATTCTTATACTCTTAATATCTTGATGTGCACCCCTTATAGTTTCTACTTCACACCATTTAGGTGTATTTTAACATCTTTGACTTTGTGCAATATACACCAGGTTAAGTGTAGATTTACAATTTTGTTTCCTCAAGTTTCTATAGATGTACACGACATGACACTTGCTAGCAAAATGGTGTTCTGAAAAACACGAACTTTTGCATTTTATTGCGGGTTTTTTGGATCAAAATTTATGGATTAAACAATCAAGAGCATCATTTGTTTAAAGTTGTTGAAAGCACTTAAAGTTGCAGAAAAGGTGTTGAAAGGAAATGAGGTATTACCAAATTACGAATCATCACACAAGCAACACTTAATTGCTATCGGAAGATGGCGAACATGGGACAACATTTTTACTGAAGTTATACATATGTCCTTACTTAATCTATGCCTCTGTGAAGACATAGCTACAATGTTGTCATTGGTTAGTTTTTCACTAACTATTGGCTGATTTTCCTGAGATCTTATTGAGTGTCAATAAAATTAGGTTATCATAGCTCTGTCAATGATACACACACAGGATGAAATCCATACATTTTTTTTACCTTTACAGATTGGGTAAATCTGTTAAAAGTATGTTTAAACGTATAAAACTGTGTTTAAATGGATTAGAGGTATATATATTTGCAATTTTTCAACATTTAATACTTGTTTATAAATACATCTTTAATCATGATATGCCTTTAGTTGCCTTTACAAAAACAATTAAAGCTTGATAAAGCCACATCATACGTTACTCAAATTTATATATGTGATCTTTAAAGTTAATTTATAAAGAAATCCATACCTTTTTTGACCTTTACACATTAGGTTAAATCTGTTAAAAGTATGTTTAAATGTATAAAATTGTGTTTAAAGGTATTAAAGGTATATTAGTTAACATGCACCGAATTAAAGGTATTAAAGGTATATTAGTTAACATGCACCGAAGCACGTAAATGAACGTAAAGCCTTATTACTGAATGAAACAATCATCAAAACTACAGTTCCCTATTGGCTGACAACATTCAATCCGTTTTCAACTGTAGAATACACAGCAAAATTTGCAATTCTTGTTTTGAGAAGAAAAATACTTGTTTTCAGCATAAAAATGCTCAAACTTAGCAATTTTTTGCTGGTCAGAATAGCAAGTAAAAATTTCTTGCTAAGAATATATCGAGCAAATATATCTAATTAAGAATTCTTATCACATGGCTAGAAATGCAGGACATCATGGCGGAATGAGACACAAGAGCATGCACATTTCGTAGCATAAATATAAAAATTAAAGATGGTATTTTAACATAGATTTGATTGAGAAATACACTTGTTAACATATTTGATTTACTTCTAGCACAAAAGTTAAACCATTGTACATTGAAACAAGTATTAAATAACCCAAGCTGTCCGTGTCGTAAATCGTGTTGTTATACGAACGGCAAAAATTAGTTCCCAAAAGAATTATTTTCATACCTTGTTTGCCAGGGCAAGAGAGACTGTATATGTTGCAAGATTTGAGAAAACCTCAATTATGAACCAGCATTTTGGCTGCTTGTGGGACGTTTTCGGGCCATTGCACATCTAAACCATATCTAGGGAGCTTTTACTTTATCATTGTATACTTCTTTTTACTGTTGAATATCAATAAAGAAGTTCCATAGGAGCAGAAATTAGATGTTTTTTACGAAGATAAACTTTGTTCCATCTTTGCAACATACGAAACACGACAAGCTCGTACTTCTTTACCGAAATTTCGGTTAATGAACCGAAATTTCGGTAAAGATGTACGAGCTTGTCGTTTCTTGCACCGCCATTTTCTTATGATTTTTGGTTTCTATGGTTACCAGGATCATTTCCGCTGATGTATTGAGACAGCAGACACATAAATAAACACACAAAACACAGCTCCGAATAGATATAGAGCGCGGGAAATTCGACTCACTCTTGACTTAATGTAGCTGTATTTTGCTCTCATCTTGGGAAAAGTCAATTATTCAGTTAATACTGGTAAATATACGTGTTATTTTGTTGTACTGTACTTGTATATTCGCATTTTGTTGTCAATTTACATAAATTACAATGTCTGATGAGCTACCAGCCAAACTCGAATCATTATTGATATGGAAATTGGGTATTGAAACTCCATCATTAAAATATGCTGCCAAAGCCATGAGCAAACCACCCGTCCTTTTTTCCGTAAGAATTTCTTATCCTCTCCGATAAACACATCTATAGCAAGTCTTGCCAGTAGAGTTTCTGGAGAGTATCGCATGACAAAGGGAAGAAAACGAAGTGAATTGGATTAAAAAATTAAGCTACTTCACATTTTTGAAGGAGAAACAGTTTCTATTAAAGATATATGTAAGGAAAACTGCCAAGTTAGAGATGAACTGGAAAAGTGTAAATACCTGTGTTGGTCTACAAACAGATATTTGTGAGCTTTACCAGGAAATGCAAACAGCAGTTGAAGAAAAACATGAAGAAATTTCAACTCTCAATTCGGTTAATGAGGACCTCAAAACTTATATTGATGAACTGGAGCGATCCCAAAATTTATTAAATATAGGCAAAGATATCTCAGATGTGAAAAAAAATCGAGAACATTAAAAACATTCATTTCCTGGGCTGAGATTGCCTTGTGGTTTGCCCTTATTTACACCCCCCATTTTACCAATGTCCCATACCCCCTTTTTTGAAATGAGGCTGAGATTGCCTTGTGGTTTGCCCGGTCGTTTGGACTGGAAGTAAAGAGCATGAAGGTTAGTAGTGAAATGAAGACTGGCTTACAGCATACTCTACATATTAACAACGATTCCGACGATATGGCGACTGGCATTTCTCATGATTTTGATGCCCTGTCTGATAATGACCAAGGTAGAGATGGTATTATAAAGTCCAAGGTAGAGATGGTATTATTTTTACTAGATAAATTTTGTATTGGAGACAATTTTTATCACGAAATGACTATGTTGTTTTATGACCTGCCAAGATCATATTTGGTGAAGCAAAAGAGAACTCAGTTAAATGAGATGTGCCATATTACATCTACACCTGGTGATGAAGAAGGTGCACAGGTGTCCTTCAAGGAGCTACTAAAAGAGAGGACCAAAGACTATGTTACAACCCACCCAACTGAAATTTTTTTACACCACCCCCCATCAACAATTTTGGGAAAAGAAATATTAATTAGTGACTGAAATGTTTGTGGCCACGACCTTTCGTTTGGGCAAAACAATCTCACCTCCCCCAGCCGTAGTACAGAAGTTTCGCCCCTGGTGCCAAATTAGATTTATGTGTTTGAATTAGATTTTATTCTGATTTAATAGATGCACAGCCAAAATTTTGAATTCTCTTTAATTTATAATCTGCACATTCATATATATCGAAAAGTGGTCTCATGACTCCCATCCACCCTTATTTACACCCCCATTTTACCAATGTCCCATACCCCCTTTTTTGAAATGAGGCTGAGATTGCCTTGTGGTTTGCCTGGTCGTTTGGACTGGAAGTAAAGAGCATGAAGGTTAGTGGTGAAATGAAGACTGGCTTACAGCATACTCTACATATTAACAATGATTCCGACGATATGGTGACTGGCATTTCTCATGATTTTGATGCCCTGTCTGATAATGACCAAGGTAGAGATGGTATTATAAAGTCCAAGTTAGAGATGGTATTATTTTTACTAGATAAATTTTGTATTGGAGACAATTTTTATCACGAAATGACTATGTTGTTTGATGACCTGCCAAGATCATATTTGGTGAAGCAAAAGAGAACTCAGTTGAATGAGATGTGCCATATTGCATCTGCACCTGGTGACGAAGAAGGTGCACAGGTATCCTTCAAGGAGACCTCGATAGATCTCACTGCCTTGGGAGGAAAGTGCCTAATGTTCAATCACGTCCAAGGCCACGTCCAATCATCGTAAAGTTTCTGTCACACAATATTCGATCTCAAGTATACCGCAACAAACAAAAATGAAAGGGTTTGGGTCTTGGTATATCCGAAAGCTTGACGAAGAAACGCGCAGAGCTTTACTCCACTGTTTCCAGACATCCAAATGTTAGTTCAGTTTGGACCAATGACGGTAGGATTATTGCCCTTCTCTCTGATAAAAGAAAAGTTGTATTAGAAAGCAATAGTGAAC